ACAAAATATACCAACCCAATCTGAAAATCGCCGCCACTGACACATAAAAACCACTGTTGCTGAATTTTTCGATAAAAACAACGTTGTAAACCAGAATTGCCTTAATTACAGTGAATTATCAAAGCAGTTAAATTATTAGCAGCGAAGACAATCATTCAATAATTGTAGCTTATTTTGCGTTGCAGGTTTTTGCGCGTCGCGGAATAAATTCAAGTTCTAAAAATACCTAAAGCCATATTAAATATTCATTTGGTGTGGCTTAACAGCAGCACAAAATGCATTTGCCTATTAATAAAGATTTGTTGTTTTCGCGAGGAAAAATACACTTACATGTACGGTTCATCTTTGGTGACGCAAGACACCACTACAACCGCTCGTCCTTGGTACCCAACAATCTGGATCTCGGGAAACGTTTTGCTTTCCGGCGTACTGCTCGCACCCGGAATGGAACCTGCCGATCTGCCTTCGCATTCATAACGGAACCGTAAGGCTTTCGATGCAGGTTGTTCTATAATCTGTAAATCATTTACTAATGAGATAAAACCAGTTTTATGGGTTGACTAAAGGTTCTTCGGCTTTGGACTATTACTTTAATACACATTTGTATTGTGACTTGTTTCGTGCTGTATCTGCGACCATCATCAGGCCATAACGTCAAATGTAGAACACTCCCATAAGTTTTTATGGAGTTTTTCCCCCAAAAAAAACAAAAAATGCGATAACATTGCCTGATGATGGTCTCCAATAAAGGTCAAAGCGTGTAACAACTAAGACTTAGTGTCTGTTGCGACAAATTTCGATCTCTATTCGAGTTATATCGTGAAATGTAAAATACAGTTGAGTCCGGATATAACGAACTTGAAAAATGAACTAGATCGTTTTATCCGGGGTTCGCTATAAGCTAATAATAATACACAAACACGTGGTGTATTTTATTTCGTGATTTTTACATAGAGTAGTAGTAGTAGAAGTTAGTAGGTACAACTAAAAAGAACACAAAAAGATAAACAAATTTCAATTTGAAATCTACTTCATAAAGTCTGTAATTTTTGTTTGTACATTTCTGCTGCAAAAATAGATGTTATTTATGTAGTTTTCAAGATCACAAAAGGACTCCCAGATATGATTAGGAACTTGCCGTGATTGTAGAAAATTCCGCGTTTCTGACACTTTTTTTGTCATTTCAGAAATGGTTGGAACAGCATTAGTGTCTACAGTAGAATACGTTTCACCTAAATCGTCATCTTTCTCATTATCGCTTAAAGCTGTAGATGAGGTTACGGAGTCTATAATTTGCCCATCGATCAACATTTCTCTTGTAAGAATGCCATTATCAATGCTCACATATTCGAAGAAATTGAAATCACTCAATTTGGTTTTAACTTGTTCTTCGACAACA